TCCGATACTCGGTGCACTCCAACCAACTGGCGTGCGGCAACTGTATGGACCCCACTTCGTGAAATGTTTGAACAAAGGGCTCTTGTTGATTTGCTGGCCCGCCTTCACTTAGGGCGGGCACGAGGCTTGCTGGGGCCCTTAGCCCAGAACATGTACATCATGGCAAGGCCCTTTTTTGAGGGCTCAATCCTCACATGGACCTGGTAGACCCTATTATGAAGAGGGCCGTGGGAATACGGGTGATTTGGGGGACTTAGGAGGGAAGTTGTCTGGGATGGGAGCTTCGATGTTTGTCCTCTCGTTCCCTCGTCCCTCCCCCACTTCTTTAAGCCGATGGCGCTCACTCGTATTACCGACAGTGCACCGGGATGCCTGGTCTGTGAATACTTCTTCTTGGTTTATTCGGTGCCGGGAGACGAGTCCTTTTGCAAAGTGCACCATCCAATGCACCATGCTGCGACACTATCACAGAAGTTTCACCCCCCCAAACACATGCAATGCCCACACACACACACACACACACACACCGTGCAAGCAGGCAACTGCACACATATGCCTCACGTTGCGCTTGTCCCTTATACCTCAACCCAGTCACTTCTGGACTCCTGGGACATAGGGCATATAAAAGGTGACACATAGCAAATGAATGACGCATGGCAAATGAAGCACCCTGCAATTCAGACATAGCAACAACATAATTCAGATGAAGTATCCAAGACTTTTTTAACTGCAACAACCACGCCCACACCCTCCTACAGGGTGTTCGCTCTCCCAGGATCACACAAAACCAGGATGTGTGATAATGCCTGTTGTTGGGGACACACCCACCCACACAGCAGTTGGGACACTCCATTCGTACTCTGTGGGCCCCATTGAAACTTTTGATTTTAACTGGGTGCAGCCTGACCCGTACATCCACACAAGGCCAGCACGTTAACCAGCGCACCTTGCTCGAGTACTGGTGGTTTAGGCTTTTAAGGTGCATACCCATGCCCTTCAGCGCACACCCATGTGGACTGATTTCTCTTTGACACAAGTGTAATGATCTGCAAAAACACAAGAGCCCTGCTAATTTCTGAGTTTTGCCGCTGGAATGTGTGCTGTGCTGAGATTCCCACTTTCTGCCAAAATTTCTGAGCCTGTGTGTGTGCGCGCTTGCTGGTTTCCGTGTGCCTGTCTGAGTGCATGTCTGCCTGTGTGTGTGTGTGAGCCGATACTTGTTTGTGCGAGGCCCTCGGGGCCGGTACTAACCTGTGGCAGTGACTTCGAGGGTTGCAGCGGGGAACACACTCAAGTAGCAGTAGTGCAGGCCCGCATAGCTTAGGGTAGTACTTGAGTAGCGGTAGGCCGAGCAGAAGAAGACAAAGCTAGTACCTTCGGAGGCCCTGTGAATTTTAGAGAGTCCGGCAGGCGGTGTCGGCGTGAATACCCTTACAAGGGTATCCGCCCTGGTTTTTGCGAGCGACAGAAAATAAGTTTGGTTTAAAGATCAAATATACCGTGTGAGGCGCGGCTGTGTCCTGGTTTACGATAATTGAACGGGTGACTAGAGTAGGGAGTGTGTGGCCGCGCAGACTTGAGGCACTCGTGATCTCTTTTATTGTTGATGATTGTAGAACCGGCGCTGTGCCGGCCAAATTTTTAGTCCTGATTAAACTAGGATTAAAAGATATTTTATTCTTGATTGGTATGTTTGACCGTGACGTGTGTGCTCGTACAGAGGATGCCATCAACAACAATGTGATTTTGAAGACGTTTCAGGAGATTGCAATCAGACTCGCTTTCATTCACACTTCTCAGGCATGCAAACAAGTTGCGCAGCAAACTGGCGACAAGCGCCCACTCAAAACTCAGAGATATGGCAAACAAGAACACAGTTCAGATACAACTCGCTTTAGATGGCTATGGCAGCTCAGCGCCTGTACAACTCTCTGTTTGCTCTCACAGGATCACCCTGGATATCCCACGCGCGATACTCTGTACACACATACACACGCATACACACACACACACACGCTACACTCCACCTACAGCTATGGCAGCTACACACGGTACACTCCACCTACAGCTATGGCAGCTATGGCCGCTGCTAACCTATCGCTATGGCTAAGCTCCTCCTCGCCCACTTCGTCTTCGGGCTCACTGCAGACCCCCTCGCACAAGTCGCTATGGCAGCGCTTCCGCATGGCTTACGTAGGAATGAATGAATGGCTGGGCACTGCCTCTTGATTTATACTTCTGTATCTCGTTGGTCTGCCCTTTTCCCATGCCCGTGGTGTACACAGTCCCATGCGGTACTTGCTTGACTGGACTAGGACTGACTGGGACTGGGACTGCTGACTCAGCACGGGTAGACTCCACCACTTGCCCACGTGGCTCAGCCTAAACGTGAGCAACTTCGAAAGGCCACTACTAGGACCTTCCAGAAGTTTGGGTCCTGGCCTTTCGAAGACTGTAGCAGCTACGACCTTGACCTTTCAGGACTGTAGCAGCTACGACCTTGACCCTTCGGAAGTTCTACAGCTACGACTTCTAGAACTCCCTAAGACTTCTACCCGTCAGATCTACAGATTGAACCCCTACACCTACAGACCCTGCGACAGACTACCACTTCTGCAAACACAAACAGGTCACGGGTTCAACTCTCAGGGTCGACACAGGTACTGTACACAGGTAGGGTGAGGACTTGGGATCGAGCCTTGGGATCTGCATTCGCTACTGCTAATAGGTGAAAACCGTTTCACTCCCGCCGGCCTAAATTCGAGGTCCTCTGAGAATAGCTCAGTCCAAGGCAGGACCTTTACCTTTCTTATCTCTCTCATAGGCTCTAACTACGTCGGGAGCTGTTTCTAGAAGTTCCGTTCTAGTAAACCAGCGGTCGTCCTCTGGCTCCTGATAAGCAAACCGGATCTTATATTGTTTATGTGGATGACCTCTACCTCCTGTTCTAAACACATCGTCACCTACTATGCCGTCAATGTCGTACCTTCCGTCCATCTCTGGATGGATCATGGACCTTCTAGATGAAAACTGCTGACTTGCGACACACGGCAACAACTTTGATGCATGAAATACAGGGTAGGTCTGGAGGTGTGCTGGGATCTCTACATTGTAGAACGGCCCATCCTCTCCGCCCTTAACTTCTAGAACTGGCCACGGTCCTCTATTCGCGTTCAGTAACTTCTGCGAGATGTTTTCCTCGGGAGCAAACTCTTTGGATTTGACCCAGACTAAGTTGCCTACTTGGAACTGCAATGGGCGACGGTGCTTGTTAGCTTGCTCTATCATTCTGTGCTGGGCCTTCCTGAGGTTCTCAATGACTGTAGCTAGCTCTTTCTTTCTCGTGCTATATCGCAAACTCCCTGGTACCGGGGGGGTAGCCTATGAATCCGGTCTCGGTTAAGCCCCTCAAACGATTTGCGCGGTCTAAAGGACTTGTGTAACTCGTTGGGAGTGTGACAGGTGGACAAGTGCACGCTGTTGTTATACGCACTGGCTACCTTGGGCAACATCTTGTCCCAATTGACTTGATCAGGTCTAATGTACATGCCCATAACTTGCTGCAGGATCTTGTTCATCTGCTCAGTCTGACCATTAGTCTCTAGATAACGGCCAGACGACATCAACAACTTTGATCCATAAACTTTCATCAGCTCCTGCCAATTCTGGCTAGTGAAGCGGGTGTCTCTATCACTAACAATGGACAATGGGACTCCATGTTCACTAACCCAAAAATAAAAAGACTTATGAATCACAAACTCGGTGAGTGCCTCTGCAGGCAAAGGAACAAAAACAGCATACTTGCTAAATCTATCAACTATGACCGTGACTTGGTTCTTGTCGTGCCTACTCTTGACGCCGGCTTCCATAAAGTCGATGGACACTAAATCTCCTAGCTCATCAGGAATAGGCAAGGGTCTGAGAAGACCTAAAGGGGCACGCGCAGTACTCATGTTTCTCGGGCATACTTTGCAACTACGGACATACTCTATGCAGTCAGCTTTCATTCCTGGCCAAGTGTACACATGCATCAGATTGGCTAGACTCTTTTGCCAACCGAAATGTCCCTCTGTGTCGTGGCATTCCCCTAAGATCAAACTGCGGATCTCCTCACTGTTGGGAACGCACAGGTGGTCTACTACATTAGTCTTCTCAAACAATAGTCCCTCTGTAGTGTGGTAGTCTGGTTCGGTCTCTGGGGCCTCCTTGACTCTCTTGAGGAGATCACTATAAATAGGGTCTTGCGCATACGGTTGTCTAACTTTCTCCTGCAGGTCACTCCCTATTTCCAGATAGTGAACTATAGCTCCAAAGTAGTTTGATCTCCTACTTAAGAGCTCAAAGTCGTACTGATCTATCTCAGCAACCCATCTAGTCAACTTAGGTGTCATTTTGGCCTGTGTCTTCAGCCACCTCATAGTCTCGTGGTTTGAATACACTTTGAAGTGCCTCCCAAGCAGGTAATGCTTCCAGTGCTCTAAGGTCTGCCTGAGAGCGTAGAGTTCCCTCTCGTACGTCAAGGTAGCGACCTTCTCTGAGGGCATCCTCGCTGACATGAACTCTACGGGTCTATAGCCATTGTCGCCGTCCTGCTGTAACACGGCGCCTATACCATACTGACTGGCTTCCGTGGTGACGACAAATGGCAAGGATGGATCTGCTACTCTGAGGACAGGGTACTCTATCAATGCGCGCTTTAACTTCTTTAGCGCAGACGTACAGTCTTTATCCCACTGCGAGATCGCCTCTTTCTTGAGCAACCTGCGAAGGGGAGCGACGATAGTCAAGAAGTTCCTCACGAACTTCCTATAGTAATTAGTTAGGCCTAGGAACGACAACAACTCAATCAACGTGCGGGGCATTGGCCAATCTCTAATCGTCGCTATCTTACTGTCCTCAGGCTTAATGCCATCTCCGTCCAAAACGTGGCCCAAGTACAAGACTTGTGTCTTGGCCCACTCGCACTTCTTCGCGTTGATCTTGAAGTTAGCCCCTCTTAGCTTCTCCAAGACCTGCCTCAAATGACCCTGGTGCTCTTGGAGGGTACTACTGAACACTAAGATGTCGTCCAAATACACTACGACAAATCTATCTAACCACGGCCTAAACAAATCATTCATACAGCGCTGGAACGTGGCAGGCGCGTTGGTCAGCCCAAAGGGCATCACTATGAACTCGTAGTGCCCATATCTAGTCCGGAATGCGGTCTTGTACTAATCATTAGGATGGACCTCTATCTGATGATATCCGGACTTTAAATCGATCTTTGAAAAATATCTGCAACCGTGCACCCGATCTAAGAGATCGTCTATCCTGGGCAATGGCTCAACGTTCTTTACTGTGATCGCATTTCAGACCCCTATAATCTATACACATACGCAATTCTCCTTCCTTCTTGGGGACAAATAGTACTGGTGCTCCAAAAGGAGATGAACTAGGCCTAATCCAACCCTTTTCGAGGAGCCCATCTAACTGCTTACGCAGCTCCTCTAACTCCCTTAGGGACATCCTGTAGACTGCTCCCTTAGGAGTTCTACTGCCAGGCTCTATCTCTATTCGATGCTGGATTGGCCGCGACACTACTCTTGTCGGCGGCTCTGTCAAATCCTTAAACTCTTCCAACAGTTTGGCAATAGGTGGGTCTATGGGTGAACTCTTCCAACAGTTTGGCAATAGGTGGGTCTATGGGTGTGTCTTCCTTAGGCTCAGTGACAGGCCTCACATAGGCTACAAAGACTTGCTCCTCTAATCGTTCCTTTCTCACTAATCACGCGAACGCGGGAGCACTGAGACAACAATGTGCCAAGGAGTTATCTACTCCAGACACACGAAACAGGCGGGCAATCTTAACCTCACCTGATGGACTAGGGAGCCTACACTCATGCTCTCTCAAATGAAGTGCGGCCCCTGCCGCCTCTCCCCAGTCCATGCCTAGGACTACGTCAAAAGGAAGGTCATCCTGTACGACGAGAGTCGGGGAATGGGAAACTTTCTCCACCTTCCCATCTTTCTCTAGGCGAAAGCACGCCAAGACTCCCTCTACGTAGTCCTCAACACACATAGTGCGGTTGTCTGCAAGGACGCTGCCTATGGGGTCTTCCAACTTTTGGACTTTTAACCCTAGCCTTAGCTTCTTCAGCACTTTACGGCTAATATAACTGCGGGTAGCCCCTGAATCTATAAGGGCCCCTACTCTACTTCTAAAGACCTCTACATCCACTAACACTAGTTGTCCCTTACCATCCATCTTCACTTTGGCCCAGGCAGGCATCCTCTCCTTCAACTCCTATGCCACGCCTATGAAGTTAGTGCCTAGAGAGACGTTAACAAAAGCAGTCTCTGGACAGCTAACTACGCACGGGCCTGCAACCTCTGCCGAGGGCTCATGTGGTGTGGGAGTTTCCTGTTCGCGCGCACTCTCTTCCCCACATGGCCTCGTCGTAGGGGCAGTTGCAACCCCTACCGGCGCCTGCCTTTCGACTCTTGGGCAGCCCATCAGGCCTGTCTATACTTAGGATAATATTTAATAATATGGGTCGAGTCACCGCAATATATGCATTGCCCCTGGTCCATACGTTGTTGCCCAATTCTCTGGTCCAGGCCCAGATCTTCCCAACGCCGCCCTTGTGGCCAACCTGGGTGCAAACCTCCTCTCCTTTGAGGTGATCCTCCACCTCGTTGTTGCGGGGACCGACTGGGACCTTGACGACAAGGTCCCCAACCTCTCTCTTGGCGGCTCCTTTGACCACCAACCCCCTGTGCGCCCGGCCCTCGACCTCTCGTGGCCTGGCCCCTTTGGCCTTGGCCTCCTCCTCTACCTTGCGGCCTCCCTCCAGTCGCGACAGCAACATAGGTCCTCCCCTGGCCTACACTACTGTCCTCCTCCTCAAGCCCCCACTCGATCTGACTGTAGGGGACCTCATCTGTACCACCTTCGTCTAACGTAAGGATCAAATGATCCTTGGCCCTAACCTGTCCAGAGATGGTACGACCTTTCCACTTTTTGCCCTTATCTAAGTCCTTATGCCAAAAAGTGGAAACTGGCATGGACTTGGCCTCAAACAGGACTACTTCCCTACTCAATGCGTCATACGTGATGTTGGCCTGTTGGATCTTATCAAAGAAATGCCCTCGCAAGGGCTCTGGCATGGCACGATAGAATAATTGGACCAACTGGGTCTCAGTGACCCCGTGGTCTGGGACGGCTACCAAGTTATCCATGACAGCTTTGAGTGCTCGCGCACTCCTCCACTATCGGGAATGGATGGTTTGGAGCTTGTCAGAGGCCCTGACACCCCTTGTGACGTTAGTGATCCTCTCACACAGGAGTTGGAGGAAAGTGAAGAGAGGGGTGAGCCAAGAATAAGCAATCATATTGTGCTCGCAATCGGCAATGCGCGCAAGGGACCTGGCGAAGCTGGCCGCTTCGTCCTTCAGTGCGTGGAAGGCTACGAGGACTTGTTCCTCTGGGGCAATATGTTGTCAATAGACATATATGTTAATGCTAGCCTCCCAATTATCGAAACTATTGTCTTTCTTCCCGCTATAAGCGTCAGGAAATTTGAGCTTGACAGGCTCTTTGCGGGGGGGACGCGACGCAGCCTCTTCTGTGGCCACTACTTTGGCGCCCTCAACGGCGTTGGCGCAGAACTTCTCTGCGCCTTCCTTCAATCACTTTACTTCGGTCTTGGCATGGGTCACCACGTCGCGCGCAAACTCTCTAAACCCTGACCGGATGGCATGAAGGGTCACATCTTGACCTTTGTTGGCCTGATGCTCCTCGAGCCAGGCCTCAAGGTACCCCAGAATCTTGTCTGACTTCGGGGGGGTCTCTGTTTGTGCCTGCACCTCTTGCCTGCAAGCCCGCACTTTCTCCACCTCTCTAGCCACCCAGTTGGCTTCTTCCCTCCTCCTCTTCTTCTCCCTCGTCAGACGCAACTTCCACTCCAACCTCTTTTCATCTTCTGTTGTCTGGCGATCCAGGGGGTCCTCCATCGCTTCCAATTCCCTAGCGAATGCTTCTCTCTCCTCCTGAGGCACATACAGCAGTGCCTCCTCATCCTCTCCCAGCGACAAATTAGCTACCCACTCGTTAATCTTTTTCTCCATCCACGCATCCTCTCCCTCTGTGTCACTTTCCCTCGTGCTTCCCTGCGTCTCTTGTCGAGGGGTACATCTTCTCCTTCTTCCTCCGCTGTTGCTGTTTCTTCTTCACCAGCCCTCCTCTTCTCTTCCTCCTCCTGCTCTAATCTCTTCTTCAGCAGCCCTCCTCTTCTCTTCCTCCTCCTGCTCTAATCTCCTCATTTCTTCCTCAACTTCTTTTTCTCCGCCGCCTGCTCCTCCGCTATCGCCTTCAACTTTGCTTGCTTGAGGAGCTCCTTCTCCCTTCTCTCCCTTAGTACGGCGGCGGCTTGCTCCCCTTGAGCTTGGGTGTAGGGGGCAGTACTCTTCCCACTACAGGTGTCAACCATGGTGTCTGATGCACAACCGAACAACGATTCCACTCCTCACCACTTAGACTCTACTCCCCCTGACTGACTCAACCTACTGAATCGATCTAAGGACCACAGAATCCGAACAAGATCCTATCAACTAGGGTCTCTAGCCAGGACCTACTCGAAGGCTGTCACTACAGGACCTGTTGCTGGTTAGGAGGCATTTAAGGAGATCCCCCGTAACTCCTCAAGAATTCTTTAACGTCGCAGACAGGACGACGCCATCAACAGGTCCTCTCAAGACTTAGACGGCCTGTTGTGCAGCCCACAACTCGGATTTTGGGCCTATCGTGCCACACCTAGCAGCCCGCCAGTCAGTACCGGTCCTTGGGAGGGTTCGTGTCCTCCACGACAGTCGAGTCGTCGGACAGTCTTTAGCCCTACTCAGCCCGTGTGGGTTTGGTCAACAAGGACCTATCCTTCATCCACAGAGTCCTATCACCAGGACAGAAGAGACTCAATGCAGAAAGAAGAAACAAACAAACTTGACTGAGCAAGTACCACAGGGTGTGTGCATATAGATAGGGCGAGGGGATAGTCTGAAGGCTTGGCGAGATTATACCCGCTCCAACTTGGTCAAATTCGTGATCAGCAGTCTTGGTCAACGCCTTCGTCTTTGGTCAACAAGGACCTAACCTTCATCCACAGAGTCCTATCACCAGGACAGAAGAGACTCACTGCAGAAAGAAGAGACAAACAAACTTGACTCAGCAAGTACCACAGGGTGTGTGCACATAGATAGGGCGAGGGGATAGTCTGAAGGCTTGGCGAGATTATACCGGCTCCAGCTTGGTCAAATTCGTGATCAGCAATCTTGGTCAACGCCTTCGTCAACGCTTGGTCAACTTTGCAGTCAACCCCCGGTCAACTCCCGATCAACTCCGATCAGCGCTGCCATCACGACTTGTGCGAGGTGGTCTGCAGTGAGCCCGAAGACGAAGTGGGCGAGAAGGAGTTTAGCCATAGCGATAGGTTAGCAGCGGCCATAGCCGCCATAGCTGTAGGCGGAGTGTAGCGTGTGTGAGTGTG